TAACTTACTTTATTTCTAGTAATACTATAAAGATAATAAGATTATTACTATTTATATACTTTTTTACTTATTGCACTTTTTATAGCTACTTAATGTAAGTTATTTTACTTCTTTAAAGAAGGTATAAAAGCGCTAAGCTAAAAACTTTATACATAACTAGATTACTTATATTATAAAAATAAAGTTTCTACTATGCTTTAAAGGAGCTTATAATGCTGTAATTACTTTTAGTAATATCTAAAAAGAGTTTTAAGGCACTAGATTAGTTCCTTTTAACTTATAATAAGTTATAATAGGCCTTAATGTAAAGTTGTGCACTTTATTACTACTACTACTTATATATATTAAGCCCTAGCAGTTATAAACCCTAAGCAATACTTTAGAACTTAGGTTATAATTAATGCTTATAAAAATAAAAATTTAGAAGCATATAAAGAGTTTACTAACTTCTATAGTTAAGGTGTTTAAGAAGGTTTTAAAAAGGGTAGTAATAATTACATATAAGCTAGTGTTAGCATAATAAAAAATTACTAAGCTTTAAGCAGCTAATAAGGCTGCTACATAACATAAATTACATAAAAGAAAGTAAATTAAGGCAGAAAAGACTTTAATAATTTAGGAAGGCCTACGCTTAACAGCTTTAAAGGAGTTTAAAGCGCGCAGTAACAGAAAGAAGGCAAAGAAGCAGGTGCAAGCTAAAGTAGGTAAGCTATCCTAAAGGCGCTGCAGATAGTGCAATTAGACTAGGCATAACACGCAAACATGTAAGCAAGAAGCAGAAGTAGTATCTAAATAATATTCTAGGCTGTACTGTACTATATAGTGCTAGAGCGGGTTGTTATAGGCCATAATAGAGTTTGTTAGGGTGGGGTCTTAGCAAAAGTAAGCAACTCAGGTGTGTGAGCAACTCGCCCATGAAGTACGTTATCAGATATATAAATAGTATTATAACTCTTTAGAAAGCTAAATGCTACTTAGTCTATGTAAAAAATAAACTAAATATTAAACACACCTTTTAAAAGTTATTAAACATAGAAACTATATACATATATAAAGAGTGCTAAGGCAAGCAGAATAAGTCTACATAAGCCTGCTAAGAAGAGCTTTATAAGCTCTCTTAGACTTGCTAGACTTGTAGCCTGTTTCTTTACTAGACAACGCACTCCTCTATTACCGCAGGGAGTGGTGCTGCTTCTGTGTCCTCTGACTGGTCCATAAGCGAGCCCTGTTCCAATCCAGCTAGATTGTGGAGCACTGCCGGTGGAGTTACGCTAGTCCAACCGTAGACCGTAACAATTTCTAACAACACTACTAAGATGTGCTAAAAAAAACATTAAATATAGCTTATACTTTAAGCTTTTAAATAAGACATAAATCTTTTAAAGAAACATTCTATAGCTATGTATAAAGTCTCTTAAAAGATAATAAATAACTATAGTACTATATAACTTTTATCAGCTAATTTAATAGCTAACTTATAAAGGCTAGGTAATAATAAAAAGTAGGTAATTATTAAAACTATACTTAAGCTATATATATAAGGATTTTCCTCTTAGATAGTATTTATAGCTAATATAGCTAATTCTTTGCACACTAAGTATAATTTAGGCTATGTTAGCATAAACTAGCCTAGTACATTTATAAAGTGTTATTTAAAGCTTAAAGTAAAGTTTTAAGTGTAAGTATAGTTAATAAATATTTAGCTTATAATAAAACTTATTTTACTAAAGTTATATATGTTATTATTCTAGATGCTATACTTAGCTTTAATATTCTTTATAAAGCTAAACTTACTTTAAATTACATTAGAACTTTTATAGAAAGCTTTTTTATAGTTGTACTACACTTTAATGTTACTTTAAGCTCTAAATAACACTTCTTAAACGTACTAAGCTAGTTTATGCTAATATAGCCTAGATTACGCTTAGTGCGTAAAGAATTAGCTATATTAGCTATAAATACTATATAAGATAACAATTTTTATATATATAGCTTAAGTATAGTCTTAATAATTACTTACTTTTTATTATTACCTAGTTTTTATAAGTTAGCTATAGAATTAGCTTATAAAAGTTGTCTAGTGCTATAGTTATTTATTATCTTTTAAAAAACTTTATATATAGCTGCAGCATGTTTCTTTAAAAGTTTTATGTTTTATTTAAAATCTTAAAGTGTAAGCTATATTTAATATTCTTTTAGCGCATTTAAGTAGTGTTATTAGTAATGCGTTAGTGTAGAAAGAGTAGTTTAGTAAGGTCTTAGCAAAAGTAAGTAACTTAGGTGTGTAAGCAACTTGCCTGTGAAGTACGTTAGTGTTTTTTATTTTCTACTTTTTATACTTACTAATCTAGTAAAATTTAGTTAAGGCGCTAAGATATAAGGTGCTTAAGGAGTTAAGCACTAGAGTTATTATAGAGCGTCTCTAGGACAGCCTTAGAAGAGGTAGTGGCTGTAGCCCTGCTTTTACGTGTGTAACTACTACTAGCCCTTATTATTATAGCTTTTTAATTAAGGTAGAGCTTAAAAAGTAGTAGTAGAAGTAGCTTTTTATTTTTTAAACTAACTGCGTCTTTATAAGAAAGTATAAAGAATTTAAATTATAAGAGCACTATAAAGCAGGAAGCATAAAGCGTAGAAGAGAGTATAGGATAGTATTAATAGACAAATCCTTAAGAAGACTTAGAGGTTTGTGAGAGGATATATATATATGCTAGGGCACGTGACAGAACGTCATGTGCCCAAGGCCGGGCCGAGGGCTCTCTGGGGAGAGTCCGAGGCATGTCTATGTTAATTGTGACAATTATGTTAATGAAGTTATGTAGTTTGCTAACGACTCTACGCTTTTAATAGAGCTTAAATTGCTCTTAAAAGCTAACTTATATAAGAGCTAATTTAAATTTAGATAGAGCTTTGCTATAAATAACTGCTTTTACTACTAGCTAGATGCTATGGCTAATATAGCGTACGTAGTGCTCTCTAGTAAGCTCTAAGTTAAGATGTTCTGCTAAACCTAAGATAGTAGAGTCATTGTTATTTAACGCGTTATTAGCAACAAAACAGCTAAATTTAGACAAGATATTATATTCTTTAATAGTCTAAGCAATAATATAGGCTTAACTTGCTCTAGTGTAGTTGCTAAATAGGTTACAAAAGCTAATAAGTAAGTCTTATTGCTTAAAGTTAACATCTAGATAATAGAAAGTTAGTAGTAAGGTTAATTTTTATAGGGCTAGCAGAACCTTAGTGCATACTAAAAAAGTGCGCGACGACTCTAAGAAAGAAGAGGTAGTTTAGAGAAGTCTATATATCCACGCTTAACGTAATTTTTAACTAGTCTAAATTTAGTATCGTTTAAATCTCCTGCTTCTGCGCTGTTAACTTCTAGGCAATATACAACGAGATAGTAGTGCTGCTAGAGAGTAGAGCGTTAAGAAGATTAAGTTAGTTCTAGGTAAGAAGACCCTAAAGTTCTGCTAACAATGCATAGGCAAACGATTAATCTTAGAGTATTACCTAGTTAACTAACGCGCTCTATAACGACTCCTTCTGCTATAATAAGTGGCTCACGGCTATACTAGATCTAGGTAGGGCAGCAGCTGCTGCCTATAGAGACAATAAGAGACGTGGAGAATTAGGCAAGAAGCCTCTACTGCTACTAATATTAATTTAATAATCTCTTTAGAGATAGTAGCTGATATGGTTATAGCCGTTAACAATCTTTAAAGCTAATTAGAGCCCTTAGAGATAACAGAGCTTACAAAGCTATACCTTTACCTTCTTCCTAGTCTCCTTAGTATATAACAACTTAGCCCTATGGCTCTATATAACAGAGGGCCTCTAGTTGCCTCTTAGCTACGAGAGGTGCTTTACGTAATAGCTAATTAAATTAGGGCTTAGCTTCTTCTTCCTTATCTAAATATTATCCTAATTAATTATAAACTGCGTGCTAGAGTTGACGAGAGCCTTGGCAGGGTACTCCTTTAAGAAGCTATCTGCTACTACTAAAACCACAGGCGAGCCTTCTTGGGAAGAGGCAAAGGGCGACGACTAGATAGATAACAACAATTACGACTTCGTAAGTTGACGAGAACCAGCGCAGTGGTTTACTGTAGGAGAAGGAGACAAGCTTAAAGCCTAAGAGGCTTGCGAGAAGGCGTTACAGCGGGTATTAACCTAGCTTAAAGAAATGAAGTTCCGCATTTTAATGGCGATATGAAGTTGATAATAGTTAATAGGAAGAAGAGATGTTAATTTAGTTAATTTTGGTGAGAAATCTGGCCCTTTTTTATTATACATTTCCTTCTCAGAACTCCCTCGTACCCAGCCTCATCGCCTCTTGATCGCCTGGCTCCCTACGGAAAACGCTTTGATAAACGCGTTAAAAAACACGTCTAATGCCGCCATAGAGCTCGGCCACCTCTAGTCCGCTAATTACTAGATTGCCTTACAAAATTGACCTTTTTGAGACGTATTACTGCCCGTAAGCGTGCTCTGATGAGACGTAAGGTACGACTCAGGTTTCTATTACTTACTGACGGTCACGTGTACGTAGCCAAGCCGTATATTACTGCTAGCAGTACGTTCGGTTGGACGCGTTGACTTCATATAGAAAACGTATGCATGACATACTTTCTACACCGCGCCAAGCCGGCACTGCCACAAGCTCCTAGGACAATTATGAGATGATACGTATAGAAGATAGAGTGTATATGTTGTATACACCTTGTTTATGGATATGATCTACACAAAAATGTTCCCTGATGTAATTAGTAAAAGGTATTACGCGAGTTCAAAATGTTTGCAAGCTAATAATGTTCTATTGTATACTTAATTCCCTTAACAGCGTTCAAGATGCAATGTGGCAACCAAGTCTTTTGGAGGATCATATGCCGCGTAGTATTGCTTGTTTTGGATCATTATTAGACCTTGAAACGCGCAATTGCCGCTATCAAACTGCTCTCCAAACATTCCCTCTACCCCCAAACTGATAAAATAGTGGTTCACTGCACGCGTCGAGCGTATAATATTATAGCAAGCACGATACGAACAATTCTATCACAGTAGAGGCTTTGTACACCGATCAGTTCCGTAAGCAAAGCCCAGAGGTGTGGCATCTACTTATCATGTCAACTGCGCACAATCGATTATGGCAATTGAGCGTCAACTTACCGAGTCTGGGGCCGCCTCGACCTGTGCGGATGAATTCCACTTATTCGTTGTCCTCGAGTAGTTCTGGGAGTTGCATCCTTGGTCCCGCAGAAGCCACTCGAGGCCTGTGATGAGGTTCGCCGTCTCCCCTTGCGATGGGCGGACCACTGGCGCCTGGGACATGCGCTGCATTTCGTTGAGACAGAGCAAGATTGTCGCTTCAGAGAAGCTTTCGTGGAGCCCGCGGGCCTCCCAGCGCGGCCACTGGCTGCTACTCCGTTGCAACTCGCGCAGCATGGCTTTGAGACGACGATTGCGGCTGACGCACTGCAGCATGGCGGGGACGCTGCCCCATTCAAAATGCGACGTGTAGTAGGCTACAATCATTTCTTCAAAGTCCTGGAACCCGGCTTGACGTATCACATCGAGTACCATGCCGAAGCGCGGCGTCATGTCCATTGTAGAAGAGGTTCTGGGAGCTTGATGTCTCCCTTGTGCCGACGACGACTCGGATGCCGCGTGAGCGACATCGTTGGACGGGCTTGTGTGTGCTGTCATGTCGGAAGCTAATGTACTGTCGGCAAGGGGCACGCTCGAGAGACTGTACGGGCTGGACAGGGTCGAAGAAAGCGGTGGTGGCATGTCGGCAAGAGGCATGAGCGGCAGGGACGCACTTGATTCAGCCATTATCTGGGCACGTAGCATATCCCGGTGGCTCGAGCATGGACCAGCAGTAGAGTTACAGGTGCAATTTTGAGGCGTGACGCTCTGGGACATAAAGCCTGACTGTGACATGGTACTCTCATTTTCCAACGACGAAGGCAGGCTCAGCAATGACTCCATGTTTTGCCACGAAGAGTCCTCTTGTAGCAGATCATCGGCCATAATCATGGCGTTGGTGGGCGGAGAGGTGGTCGCGGGACTCGGGACGATCATATAACCAACGGTATCCGTCGCGGTGATCCCCACGGTCGTGTGCTGTGGAGAATCTGGTGTCGTCTCCGTGGCTTGTGCAGTCGAACTCAATTCTCCATCAGCGTTTTCGCGGGCCTGACGGACTTTGGAGCCTGCAGTCGCTGATGAGTCGCATGATCTCACGTGATTGGCTGCGGAGAGGAAGGAGGTACATACGGTGCTTCCGTTGTGAAAGTCTGTTCTGGAGTCTGGAACTCTAGTCAGTGCTGACCATGAAGACTGTTCATAATTGGTGTTCACCGTCTCTGCTCTACCGCCCTCGGACTTGTTGACCGACTGTATTTTCTGGGGGTTTTGGGGGGTTTCTTCGCTGCTTCCGAGAACATGGTACACTAGCTCTAGAGCTCGGGCATCGAAGACGCTCTTATAGACATTCCCTGTGAGAACAGAGAGGGGTTTTCTGCGGAAATTGACCCGGTCCGAGGGTCAGCCAATATATGTACGTGTGAAGCGTAGTGAGTGAGGCGTAGTGAGTGAGGCGTAGTGAGTGAAATCCTACAAGCGCTTCACCTGCCCGTATTGACAAACGCAGGCACGGCCGCTAGAATCTGTCTAACGAGTATCCTTTTGTTATCTTTAGAGAGATTTTACCCTTGTTAGCCAATGCTTTTGGGGATATCATGCCTAGTATCTATTATCAAGTGTGTTGTTGTCTTTCTGCGGCGAAGAATGGCCCGTGCCAAGGCGGATCGGACCGAGCATCGTCATCTGCGTTGGAGCTGGCATATTCATTTCTATGAGTAGTCATGAGCAGATAGGTCTTGTCATGGTTTCTCAGACAGTATAAAAGAAGGGCTGTGGTTGATAGGGAAGACCGTGGGTTTAAGGATGCTGTGGCAGGTAGGAAAAGCGGGGGTCGTTCATGTGGGTTTGTTTAGCAGGGCAGCAATTCACTAGCGAGTGACCTACATTAGCGAGCGCGCTACCTTTGCTAAGACCCTACTAATCTATTTTATTTATCATTAGGGATCTCTCCGCGCATACTCATAAATACTAAATGCACACTCTTGGCATTCCAAGGTTTGCCGCGCGCAATACTTATTGGACATGTTCCCACTAACAATCTAGTATCTAGACGTGTGCAGATCAAAGACTTCCTAGTTTGACAAGAGGATCAAGCCGCGTTATGCCAATGTTTGAGCATCCAAATCAGAGTGCAGCCTAAGCAAGGCCCGCAAGGGCGGAGCAAGTAGTGGCTCCTGGGACGTAGCTCATTTGGTTATTTTAGCGCGAGACATCAGCCCCTAATTCTCGCGCAGCGCGAGTTAATACCAAACATACTTTCCTCTGTCGTGATCTCTTCCAAGGGCCTTGTTAAACACAACTTTGTAGCTAACGCCTAAGTATAATAGTCGTACGCCCCCCTAGCGCGCCTGTGTGGACGCAGTAGCATCCTAAGGTCCCGCATTCACTCCTAGATCATTAACTTCCATAGCCAGCGCATCTGCTGCTTTAGCTAACACTACGTCTCTAGAACATTCTCTATTCGTTCGTGCGTCTCCAGCTTGATACGCAGTGGCCTTAGATATGATAGCATATCTAGGAATTTCTTTTCTCAGAGGCTTCTTTAAGGGAGCCTTCTAGCGGCACTATTCTAACATAATGTGCCATATGTTGGTCTAGGAAGCATCAGTACAAATAGATCTAGGTTTGCAGTGGCTTATAGTAACCCTAAAGCCGGCCGAACGCAGGGCCCCTCGCACTGCAGCCAAAGGAGGCGATTGACAGTGTATCACCTTCGCCACTAAACTTGGAATGAAAAAGAACAGGCTATGATTAATCTCTACAGGATTAACTCTTGGTATGAACGGGCCTAGCAGCGCAGCTTCCTCTAACAATGTAGATATTTTGTCCCTTATGCCAAAGGTAATCTCCTCTAGTGCAGTGTAAAGCATGCCCTCTATCTAATCCTTCGCTGCATAGGCATTGTATTTAGACTTCTAGACATGTGCTAGCATCCTCTTAATAAACTCTAGGTTATGTAGTGGACCGCTATACATGGGGCCAGAAAGCTAAGGCGCTGTCAGCGCGATGATCTAGGGATTTGTGTTTTTGCTTACATGAGTTTTAATGCTGCAATGCTCGCACAACTGGTTTGCATATAGCCCTTGCGTAAAGGAGTGCTTATAAGACGTAACCTTATTTTTGTTTTAGGTAGGCTTGTTGCGAGCGAGAAATTAAGTAGACTAAGATCCGCACCTATTTGTTACGGTCTACAGTTGGACCAGCGTAACTCCACCGACAGTGCTCCACAATCTAGCTGGATTGGGACAGGGCTCGCTTAAAGACCAGTCGGAGGACACAGAGGCAGCGCAGCTGCCTGAAGTCATGGAAGAATGCGTCGTCCAGTAGGAAAGCAGGCCGCGAGTCCAGGGAGCTAAAGGGAGCCCATAGGAGCTCCTCTTAGCAGGCTCCTATAAACTCCCGCCAGCTCCCCTTAGCACTTTAGCACATGTATATAGTACGCACATTAAGCAACCTTTAGAAGGTGTGTTTAACATTTAGTTTATTCTTTATATAGACTAAGTCGCATTTAGCTTTTTAAAGAGCTGTAATACTATTTATATATCTTGCACTATATATACCTCTAACCCTGTCTACTAGGACTGTTTAACCTAGCCTCTCTACTGCTGCATTAAGGGCAAACTACAATCTAGTCTCCCTATCCCTCTTTATTAGCCTAATAGCCTGTACGTAGGACTGTACACCTTACTAGATTAGCCTCTTCCCTCTAACCTCCTTTCTACACTAGGAGCATTCTAAGACCTAAGTGCTTCTTAAAGCAAGAATTATAACATTAAACACTACCCCTTTAAAAAGTATAGTAACCTTATAACATAACTTAGATTCTAATATAGCCTATGCTGCGCTATTAGGATCTACAGAAGTTCCTACCTAAAGTAAAGCTGTTCTAGCAGAACAGATTAACTTAATCTAGGATAATATTAAAGAACTCTAGTAGATTAGTAATAAAGTTAGTAAGCTTAAGAAACTTAAGCAAAAAATTACTAACCTCTAATAAAAAATAGTAGAACTATAAAATCTTTAAAAACCCCTAAGCCTTTAAAAAGCTACTAACTAAGCTTATTAGATATATAAATTATAAGTAAAGCTAGTAAAGATCTAGAACATTTTAATAAAAAAAGCAAGTATTATAGCTAAAAAGACTTTAAGACTAGCTCTTTTAAAGCTTTTTAAAGAATTATTAAAGAACCTCTAACTATTTTTTATAAAATGTTACCTCTACATGCAATATAATAAAAGAGTATTTTAGACTAACACAGAAATAATATTCTAAATAGAACTACACCTAAAAGGCCCCTTTATAATTTAGTTTTAACTTTATGTAGACAACTAGATAAACTTTAAAGTAAATAGTAAAGCACTTACTTTTAAAACTAAAGAAATATTTAGCAGCATTAAAAACTTTAAAGAAGCCTTAATAGCTATTTATAAAACTTTAAATAAAAAGAAAATTGCAGCTAATAAGCTAGACACTATAAAACAAAGAAATAACTTAGTTTAGAATTATGCAGCACGCTTTAGAGAATAACAAGCTATCTGCAGATAGATAGACTAGAAAGCTCTCTGCTACATGTTCTATAATAGACTAAGTAAAATAGTAAAGGATAAGTTTATGCATAGTAATAAGCTAACTACCTTTAAAAATTTTATTACGTAAGTAATAACCTATAACAACTGCTATAAAGAGAGTAAGAGAGAAAAGAAATAAAAAGGAACTCTCTAAAAACTAAAGTTTATTCTTAAAAAAAGAAAGCTTTTATAATATAATAAAAAACTAATAGACCTTAGTTACATAAAGCATACATAAAGCCCCTCTTTTAAAAAGAGCTAAGTTTTAGAACATAATAAGCTGCCCCTAATAAAGAAATAATAAAAGTGGCTAAAAAATAAGGCCTGCCTAAACTATAGAAAAGTAGGACATTTCTACTAAAACTGCCTAGACTTCTAGAAGAGGGAGAATAAAAATACTACTATAATAATAAAAGCTATTACTGCTAAATACAGCCTTATAGATAAGAAAATATTAAAAAGATTAAATAACAGACTTTGCTAGTAATATAAAAGCAACTACTCTTTAAACAACTATTTTAAAGTGTACTAAAAAGTAGTTATTTAAAACTTTAGTAGCCTTAATATAGTGTTACAGGACCTTATAATTCTTAAGGGATATAGAGAAAAGACTTAAATCTAAAGATACATTATAAATGTTTATAAAAAAGAAGAATAGTTTCTTCTATAAGACTAAATCTCTAGCACTTTAGTAAAAAAGCTCTTTTAATAGTTTTAAAAATGTAAATGCTAGAAATGTAGTCTATAACATAACTACTTAAGTTATTGCATAGTTATGCTTTACTAAGTAAATATTAGCAACAACTATCTTACATTTAACATTATATAACATATAGCTAAAGTTAAATATAACATTATAAATAAAAAGAAATAATAGCAGTTTTTTATAAAAATCTAAGACTAGAAACTAGAAGGACTAGGCAGACCTGCTAGGTTTAAAGTCCTAAAGCTAGTACTTAGGAAGCCTAAGACACTACTTCCTAGCCTTATAATTAGCAGAAAGGCTTTAGTAATGCAATAGAGCTATAGTTAGTGCGCACTCTGTAGAAATAAAACCTATAGCACTAATAATTACTAATAAAAAGGACACCCTGTTTAGATAGTACAAACGCAGGAATACTCTTAGTAGACCTAGGAGAGTCCTCTTAACACATTACATAGACCTAATAATTGTCTATACCCCTAGTACTAATGCACATAACAGTATTGCCTTAAGCATTAGAATAATAAGCATAAGATAGGCTAGTAGCCTACATAGAAAAAGAACTATAATAGATGCCTATAGTAAGGAACAGCCTTAGCCTGCAAAACTATAAACTGTTACACCTGCTAAATAGCGCCCCTACACAAGCAGAAGAAATAGGCAGCATGTAAAAAATAAGATAACTATAAGTTTTACTATTTTTAATAAAAAGCAGTAAGAAAAGAAGACTACTTAATGTTACATTACTTAGTTAAAGATTATAAATGTAAAGCAGCTAACTACTATAATAGAGAACATTAAATTAATAAAAAAAAAAATAAGTTTAATAATAACTTATAGAATATTAACTTATATCTTTTTTTAATAAAGAAGTTAAACATAACATAGCAGCAGTAATTATAGTAGAACAAGAGGCAGGACACAGCCTAACAACTACCTTTATGTATAAAGGGTAGCCTAGACTAGCTCTTGTAGACAGCAGATGCACCTTTACTGCTATAGATAAGGATTAAGTAGATAAACAAAGTATACTATTCTATATTAAAAAAAACTTATTTATGGTAACTCTTACTAACACATTATTAATTAAATATAGTAGAGAATAGATTAACCTAGAAACTTATAAGAAAGACTTTAAGACCTCTAACATAAAAGACTAGAGGTCTATAAACATACTTAAGCTAGAAGGCAAATATAATATAATTTTAGGCTATAATTAGCTTAAAACACATAATTCTGTAATTAACTAAAGGACTATAACTATAAAAACTTCTAACAACTATGCACACATAACCTAGTTAGCATGCTATAATAACTAATGCCTAGTCTATAAATAAGCAAAATAAGGTAGCAGTTACTACTTAAAAAAAGAAAACTTTAGAAGTTCTCTTACTAAAAGCTAAAAGCCTAGGTAATAAAAATAATAAAAAAAAAACTTAAAAAAGTCCCTTATAAAAAAATTAAAGCTAATAAAGATGTAAAATAAATTAGCATTATCTAAGTCTAAGAAAAGAGCTACATCCCTGCTAAATATAAAAATTATAAGAATATGTTTAAGACACTAGAGGACCTAAAAGAACTACTACTACACTAGCCTTAGAATTATGCTATTAACTTAATAAAAGATTCTAACTTAAAAACCTATAAGCTCTGTCCTTTAATAAAGACATAAAAAAAAGCCTTATAAGAATACATTAATAGAATGCTAGCATAAGGCTATATCTAAGAAAGCTATAGCTTAGTAGCTTTAGCTGTAGTTTTTGCAAAAAAGAAAAAAAAATTTAAGTTTATTAAAACTATAAGACTTTAAATAATAACATAATCTAAAATTAGTTTTTTTTACTAATTATATAAGATATTATAAACTAATTAAAAGGAACCTAGTACTTTATAAAGTTTAATGTATAAGATAAATTTAATAAGATAAGAATAAGAGAAAGTAATAAATAGCTTACAGTGTTTAGAACCCTATAAAGACTTTATAAACTATTAGTAATACTGTTTAGCTTAATAAATGCCCTAGCAACATTCTAGTAAATTATTAATACAGCCTTTAACCTATACCTTAATGTCTTTACTTTAGTATATTTAGATAACGTCCTTATCTATTTAAAAGATACTCTAGAAGACTATGTATAAAAGGTACAAAAAGTTTTAGAGCAGCTTAGAAAGTACAGACTTTACTTACAGCTCTCTAAATGCAAATTCTATGTTACTAAAATAGAATACTTAGAATTTATAATTAATAAAAAAAAATAAAAATTAACCTAGCTAAAGTATAAAAAGTACTTAAATAGCTTAAACCTATAATAGTTAAAGAAGTTAAAGAATTTCTAGGACTATCTAGGTATGTTAGATAAATAGTTAAAAACTATTTAAAAATTACTATACTATTAACTAACGCTATAACTAAAGAATAAGTAATAGCAAAATTTGTTTAGACTCTAGAAATAAATAAAGTATTTCTAGTGTTAAAGCAAGCTATAACAGCTAAGCTAGTGCTAAGAATGTATAACCTATAGTTAGATACTAAAATCCACACAGATGCGTCCCTAGAAGCTAGCAGAGCGACCCTCTATTAAAAACAAGAAGACAGAAAATAGCACCTAGTTGCGTACTATTCTGCTAAGTTCTTAGGACCTAAAGCAGGGTACAGCATACCTAACAAAGAGTTAAAAGCAATACTAAATGCTGTAAGAGTATAGGCTATAGAGCTATATAAAATAGCAAAGCTGTTCTATATTATAACTAACTATGTAAATTTAGTTATGTTTCTAACAGTAAAGAAACTCTTACTAATGCATATAAAATAAGTAATAGAGCTTGCCTAGTTTAACTGCATTATTAAGTATGTTCTAGAAACATAGAACTAGTAGGCTAACGCCTTTAGCTAAAGACTAAACTACTTTAATAAAGAAAAGAAAAGAACTAAAAAGTTTACACTTTTTAAAAAAACTAATAAAGAATAGATTTATAATAGGCCTAAACTTATAAAAGAATTCTACATACTTATAGCTAGTAAGTAAAGATAAAAAAATTTAATCTAGAAATATTACAAATCTCTAATGTTTAGACACTTAGGAATAGGCACTTTTTAGAAAAAGCTAAGAGCTGCTATTTTTTAATATATACTAAAGATAAAGTAACTATGCACAGAGGTGCTTAGAGAATGTAATACCTATAATAGAAACAACTTATAAAGGCATAAGGCCTATAGGTACCTTTAACTAATTAAAGCCCTAAAGTTACTATAGATAATAATTATAATAAACTTTATTATAAGATTACCCCTGTCTAAAGAACTAGAGACAGACAGGATGTGCAACATAATTATAGTAGCTCTAGATAAAACTACTAAGTATCTTTATACTTAGCCTTTAAAAAAGATAATAACTGCTAAAGAATTTATTTATAAATTAAAACAGAACATAATATTAGTATATAAATGCTTTAGAATTATTATCTCTAACTAAGATAAATTATTTACTAGCAGCTTCTAGAAAGTAGTAATAAGGCACCTTAGTATAACATATAAGCTATTAACTGCCTACTACCTACAGACAGACAGCTAGACTAAAAGAGTAAATGTAGAAGTAAAGAAATACTTAAGAAAGTACATCTTCTATACTTAGAATAATTAGGCAGTATAGCTTCTAATAGCACAGCTAGCTATTAACAATGTAGAATTAGCTATAATAAAAAAAACACTATATAGAGCTAATTTTAGATATAACTCTTACTTTACATTACATAGAAATTAACCTATAGACTTATAGAAATTAATAGATTAGCTAATAAACCTATATTAGATATATAAAAAGTTAGCTGTAGAAGCTAGAACTAGCAGAGAAATAATAGAAACATATGTAAACAAATTATAACAGCTAAGACTAGAAATCTGCCTAGAAGACTATGTCTACTTTAATATAAAAAACTTTAAGATACCTAGACCCTTTAGGAAGCTAGTAGAAAAAAAAATAAGACTTTATAAAGTTTTATAAACTTAGTAAAATAACTGCAAGCTTAAGCTTTCTTTACACATAAAAATCTACTTATAGTTCTATATCTCTAGACTAGAAAAAGCACTTAAAGAGATTCCTTTATCTACACAGAGATAAAAGAATAAAGAAACAGAATATAAAGTTAAACACATTATAAGTAATTAAAAAAACTAGAAAAAATTTTTAGTAAAATAAAAAAGGTAGCTTACTAGTAAAAACACATAGAAACTAGCTAAGAATTTGCAGAACGCGCAGCTGTTAGTATAAGAGTACCTTTAGGCTTATCTAAAAGAAACTAGCTAGGCAATAAAGCACCTATATTAAAAGGAACAGCTATGTTATTACTAGATAGCAGTAGCCTTTAGAGATAAGTCCTAGCTGATAAAGGCTAAGAGAGGGAATAGCTTTTTACTTTAGCCTTAAGGGCTTTTATCTTGTCTAAGAAGGAGAGATTCTTTTTTAAGTACTTTATATAATAAGCCTTTAATAGATCTAATAACTTTTAGATATAATTTTATCTAAAACGCTCTTTATTTATTACCTCTAGCATTTTCTTTTGTAAACAGAGTTGTTTCTAGACTTAAGCCTGCTACTTATTCTATAACACACAGTCCTAGGCCTGTAAGGTCTTAGCTTTATAAAAAAGCGTCTCTCTTTCTTTCTCTAAATAGTTCTATGTAGCATTAGAAATAAAGGTGTTGCATTTACTGTGCTTTTTTACACACTTAACGCATTTATCTAAGGACAAAGTTAATATATAAGACAACTTTAAAAATTAGTAAGCGCTATAGGGTCTTATCTTTGTCTAGTAAAAAGAATTAAAATAAAAAGCAACATAAAGATAATAAAATAAACAGGACTAATAAGCTATTTAGTATAAAAAGAATAAATGTTAAGGACGCTTTCTAGTAAGAGAATGCACACTTTATAAATAAACTTTTACTAACACAGTTGTGTGAGCAGAGCGGCAAGGACGCCGCTAGGGAGCGGGGGCAGCGTGTTACAGTCTACAGTTGGACTAGCGTAACTCCACTGACAGTGCTCCACAATCCAGCTAGATTAGGACAGGGCTTGCTTAAAGACTAGTTAGAGGACACAGAGGCAGCGTAGCTGCCTAAAGTTATAGAAGAATGCGTTGTTTAGTAGGAAAGCAGGCCGCAAGTCTAGAGAGCTAAAGGGAGCCTATAGGAGCTCCTCTTAGCAGGCTCCTATAAACTCCCGCCAGCTCCCCTTAGCACTTTAGCACATGTATATAGTACGCACATTAAGCAACCTTTAGGAGGTGTGTTTAATGTTTAGTTTATTCTTTATATAGACTAAGTAGCATTTAGCTTTCTAAAGAGCTGTAATACTATTTGTATATCTTACACTATATATACCTCTAACCTTGTCTACTAGGACTGTTTAACCTGGCCTCCCTACTGCCGCATTAAGGGCAAACCATGATCCGGTCTCCCTATCCCTCTCCATTAGCCCAATAGCCTGTACGTAGGACTGTACACCCTACCGGATTGGCCCCTTCCCTCCGACCTCCTTTCCACACCAGGAGCATCCTAAGACCCGAGTGCTTCCCGAAGCAAGGATTGTAACACTATTCTAGTAGTGATATATAATCATTGTCTTACTAGCTAGAAGTTTGACATTATTTAGAGCCTTGCGGATACAGACAAAGACATAAATGTAGTAGTCAATAGAAAGTAACAAGAGAGGCTTAATAGCCATGCTATAACGAGCTGCTGATGAAGCGACTGCATGTAATATTAACTAGAGGCCTCCCTCGTGGCAAGGTTCTCCCTTGAAGGGCAGGCCGCTATACTGCAAGTATGTCTTTTCTAGGTAGCCATGCGAGGCGAAGCTAGCTGAGTCTGTGCAAGTTACACATAGGAGGCCACTGTCATTAATTGCCTAGATAGATGCATCTATAAATAGAGCGGCAGTTCTGTACGGATCTAGGTTAATAACCTTGTAACTAATCTTCTTAACAAAGCTGTACATGTACGCAATAGCATTACTAGTATTAGCCTTGATCTTTTCTTCTAGCTTGTTATACTTAACATTAAGTTTAATAGAGTCTATTGCTAAACTAGATAAGCTGTTTGCCGTGATAGTTGTTGTAAACGGAATCTCCTTTGCATAATGCAAGGCCCTAAGACTAGTAGCAGATAGCGCGTCTAGAATTTAAAACTAGGGTGTGTATGCTCCGCTTCTGTTTAGTAATTTTATAGGATTGTTAGACAGAACTAGTCTATAGAGATCTGTATTCCTATTTGAAGAAATATCTAGGATAGGATGTGCTGTGGTTTCTATCTCCTCTAAAACATTCTTAGTAGCCATGCCCGCTAACGCATCTGATGTACCTGTACCTTCTGTCCTTGTTTTCTTTAAGGGAAGCCCCAGCTTCGCATTCGAGTTCGCCTGTTGGCCGTTAGCGTCCTTGTCTTGTAACTTCCTCTTCTTTTGCCTATTTAACTTCTTTAATGCTGCTTCGTGTTTCTGTCTCTTGCGCGTAACAAAGTCTTCCCTAAAAGTCTTGATCGCAAGGACACTAAGATCGCAATTAAACTGCTATATAGGGTTATAAAAGACTTGCTGTTTCTAACTATCTTCCTTTGATATTTTCAAGTCCATGGAGGTTAGTGTTCCCTAGGGTACCAAGATGTAGGCAAGACCTTCCCTAATAGTAGTGTAGTCCCTTACCTTATAACTAACATCCTAACTAGCCTCTAGTTCCATCTCTATTGTATTTAAGAGCGTATAGGCTTTTTCTCCTTCTGAGGCCATTTTTAACGAGGTAAAAATCAGTCACAGAGCTAGGCTACTAATGATCCAAGCCTCTCAAGCTATTAATTAAAGGGATGCCGGCGCACATAGATAGCAGAGGGGGAAAGAGAAGGCAGCTAGAATTTGCTGTTAGGTAAGAGCAGCGTGGGTGGTTTTAGGTTGTTGTAAGGGAGGACGTTAGGTGCACTCTGTTTTCGTGACTGTGCAAAGCCTCGACAGTTAACAAAATTTTAAAGGTTATTTTTAGATGCAATTTAAGCTTAAAATTAGCGTCTTGGCAAACGTATTCATAGCAGCCATAAGCCTCTTGTTCCTTACTACAACTTGCTATAGAATACGTGCTTGTATATTCTAATGCTTCTAGACAGCCTGCTCTTGCTTCTTAGGCTTGATGCCTACAGCCTACTTGTTGACGTGGGGTAGCGTTTTGTGAGGCAATTTTCTCGTATTGATCCTTTAAGGACGGGTAGGTAAGCAGGTGCCTAAACCTAGCTCCTAAACAGGGCGAGTTTGAACCACTAACACCCGCCTTGCCGCAGCCTCTAATTACTTTCTCTTACAAACAAAGGGCTGACTTCTGCTGTTCTGTTTGTTGTTATATCCTTCTGTTCTCTCCATCTTACTCTAGACCTACACATTATCCCTTACTAATATTTTTATTGCACTTTAAACTATAATAGGGAGAACTACGACTACGCTAGCCTCTAAGGCTTATCGTGACGACCTAGATGCTGTCTTGATGCACACAACCCTAGACGATTACAACAATGACGCGCCTAAAATCACAGGTCTCCTGCCTTTATATACAAATAGCAAGAGCGCTGTCCTACCCCTAATGCCTATCCACTACATCTAACCTCCCCCCGCTGTTATATGTAATGAGGTAGGCGCCCCGCCTGCCAAGCCGATACTATACGACTTTCCCCACTGTACCAAAAGGTACGCACGAGAATACTTAAGCTAAGTATTCTCGCATAGTATAATATATATATAGGTAATGCTAGGGTAAGCACTAGCACTGGCGGTTGTCTCTAGCCTAGCCTAAACCTCTATGAGCGAGAGAGGGCCACGTGGTTGACCGTGCCGACATCGTTACATTATAGATCATAACAAAGGATTTTAGATAAGCAGGGGAAAGGTTATCATAGGAAACACTTAAACATTAATAGATGCTTGCTATAATAGCGACCTGTAATATCTTAAGAAGGGTATCTGCTAATTCGCGCAGGAGCGACCCATTCTATATGCGTACATTATAGGCACACATAGGGAGACAGTCTAATGCAGAGACAAGAAGGAGACAAAAACTATTACTGACTTTAGAGTCGTGATTAGCATGTAGTTGTGCTTGTGGACTAACTTTAATGTAGTTAATACACGTTTGCTTAACCTCTAAACTATAGAGAATAGACTTAAATTCTTAGTTTTATTAAGATTAACGTTTACTAAAATAGTGCCCTGTCTAGGGTACTTAATGCTAGGAGCTATCATAATCTTAATATTGTTAAACGTAAGGGCTATAATAGCTGCTAGCCTAGAGGCAGTAACTAAAGACAAAATAAAGAAGAGGGATATAAAGATTTAGACTAGGCCATTCAGCAGTTGCCTGTCGTTAATCTATAATGCGTAAAGGATAGCATATAAGTCCTTAACATACATAGCGTGCTTTTCGCTCTTAGATGTGTTAAGTTCTAATTTAGGAATCCACTATAACTATATTAGTAATCTGCTACGCAGAGAGAGTAGGGGGAGCGTACGTTGCAGATATTATCTAGAATGTTAGCATCTATATAGTACCTAGCGACGTCCTAGTAGGTCTAGCTAATCCTCTTCTAGTAACTTGTTATTAAGCTTTGCTTCTTAACGCGATAATGTTTCTTTTGCTAGCGTAGATAGCCTTTAAACATTTTAGGTTAGCACGTAAGTAGTAGTTCTTCTAGTAACTTCTTCGTCTTCTTTGTAATCTTTAGGCAATACCTAGCTATGATTTTATAGTTAGCAGAGTACGAGAGGCTAAGGTGCGAGTCCTAAGACAGGCTAGCTTGCCTGTTCTAGATTTTACGTTCGCTCTTCTACAGTTTTACTGTTTATAGTTTATGTCTAGATCTTGCTAGTCCCTTAAACTTGAACTTAGCAATGTCCTTTATAATTTCCTCGCCTTCTAAGTCTAGCTCTAAGTCTAAACCTCCCTTCTAGGTGTTGTCTTTAATACCTTCTAAGGCAGCAGGTTTAAGGCTTACGTTCACTTTAGCGTTAGTATCTAGATCTAATTGTATGTACGAGGATAAACTTAAGGTGTATCCGCTCTCCTAGTCCAAGTCTAGGGTCGTGGGCTAGGTAGATAGATGCGATGGATAGCAATTTCGCGCGGGAGTGCTATTTGCATAGGATGTAGAGATCATAGAGAAGGACGAGGACGAGGAGAAGGCGGTGGTGGTAGTGATAGCCATAGCAACAGCTAGCTCTCTACGAGCAGTTCGCGCTATAGGAGCCATTAGAGCTGTTAGTGAAGCAGCAGCGGCAGACAAGCAGGCGCTGCTAAAGACAGTGTAGAAGAGCAGGAAGAGGGATAGAGAGCAGGCAGCCGTAGTAGTGGTCGAGCAAAGCGTGGGTCTGCTATTGCTTTAAATAGGCGCTAGCAACAAGAAGGGCCAACAACAAGCTGCGCTATATAGGCCGCCGACTAGAAAGGTAAGGCGTAAGTAAGAAAGATAAGCAAAGACGTTACAAGGGGCAGGAATAAGGCTCCTCTTAGCGTCTTGTAAGCGAGCACGTAGGCAGGGGACTTGTAAAAGCGGCAACGTGGAAGGGGTTAAGCAAGGTAGAATTGCCTCTAAAAGCGGCAGCGCAAACCTGCCTAACACAGATGCAATCCCACTGTCACATGCATTTTATAAGTAATAAAAAAAATAGTGCTACTAAAGTTTATTTAAAAATATTATAACTAACTAGTCTGTTTAAAAAAGATGATTTTACTTAACTTTATATTTTATAAACTTAAATATATTAAGTAGAGTAAGCTTTACTAATAACTTACTTTATTTTTAGTAATACTATAAAGATAATAAAATTATTACTATTTATATACTTTTTTTTTATTACACTTTTTATAGCTACTTAATATAGATTGTTTTCCTTTTTTAAAAGAGTTATATAGACGCTAAGCTAAAAACTTTATATAGAACTAAATTACTTATTATATAGTAAGCTTATAAGTAAAGCAATACTTAAAAATAAATACTAGCTAGCTAATTCTTAGCTTTAATTAGGTTAGTAAAATTTCTTTTTTAAAAACTTAATGTTTATATAAATTTAAGATTAGTTATTTTAGAAATTAGTTAATTATTAGCTGTAATTAAGAGAACACGTTCTAGCTGTAGCCTTTAACGCGTTTCTACTGTTGCAATAGTCTTTCTCTTCTTTACACCTTACAGTCTTGTTACAATCCTTGCTTCGGGAAGCACTCAGGTCAATGTTGTTCCTAGGGATAGGACGGAGGCTAGGGGCTGACGGTAGAGTGTACAGTCCTACGTAACGGCTAATAGGCTAATGGAGCAGGCTAGAGTGACCAGATTGTAGTTTGTCCCTATGGCGGCAGTATAGTGGCCAGGTTAAACAGTCCTGTTAGACAGAATTAGAGGTATATATGTTATAGATATTTAAATAGTATTATAGCTCTTTAGAAAGCTAAAACGCTACCTAGTCTATATAAAAAATAAACTAAACATTAAACACACCTTTTAAAGGTTATTTAAAGTTAGAACTATATACATATTTAACAGTGCTAAGAATAAGTTGTTTAAGTTTAGATAAGCTTACTATATAGTAAACTTATCTAACTTACTTAGACTTGTTTTATTCCCTTAGCCTTCTTTTCAACTAGACAATGCATTCTTCTGTAAGCCTAGGCAGCTGCGCTGCCTCTACATCTTCTAGTTAGTCTGTAAACAAGCTCTGCTCTAACCTAGCTAGATTGTAGAGTACTTTAGGTAGAGTTATATTAGTCTAACTATAGACTATAACACACTGCCTCCCCTCTCTAGTAGCGTTCTTACTGCTCTGCTTATACAACTGTGTTAGTAAAAGTTTATTTATAAAGGAAGTGTCTACCTACTAAAAGGCGTCTGTTATATCTATCTTTCTTATACTAAATAGCTTATTAGAAGTGTTTATTTTACCTTTTTTATACTACTTATTATTTTAATTCTTTTTATTAGATAAGGATAAAACTTTATAACACTTACTAATTATTAAGTTTAACTTATGTACTAACCTTATTCTTAAATAGGTATGTAGAGTGTGTAAAAAAAACATAACTAGTGTAACACTTTTATTTCTAACACTATATAAAATTATTTAAAGAAGAAAAGAGAAGACCTTTTTTAATCTGCTAAGGTAATAAAAGTTTATAAGTAAAAGCTTATAAACAAATATTTACACCTAGTAGAAAAGCTTCTTAAGAAGGCAGCAAAGATAAAAATAATGTTAGAAAAAAAGTGTTTTAAATAAGATTATATTTAAAAATTACTAAATCTATTAGAGGTTTATTGCATAAGGTATTTAAAGGGGGACCTTTTTTTCTTAAATAAAATAGCAGCTTTTAAGGCAGTAGTAGAGGGTTAATTACCTTTCTAACCTTTTTCTACTAGTACTTATCTTTAAAGGCTACTGCTATGTAATAATAACATAGCTATCTTTTTTAAAATAAGGGCCTTATTACTTAGCTAGTTCTTCTTAGAAAAGTTTAGAGGTACTTCTATACTAATTACTGTAAATTCTGCAGGTTTTTACCTAGTTTCTAGGTGTTTTTACTAGTAAGCTATTTTATTTATTTTACTAAAAATTCTTTTTTATTTTTTTAGTTACTAATAATTTATTTTACTTTATATTTTATTTCTATTTCTTTTTATTTTTATATTAATAAGGGAATTTCTTTAAGCACTTTTTCTAACTTCAAGATGTAGAACTATAGGTAGATTCTTATATGCAGAAAAACCTTTAGTTTATTATTGTTCTATTAAGTTTAAAAAACTTTATAAAGTTGTATTCTTTTTTCTATAAGCTTCTTAGAGGGTTAGAGTAGTTTAAGGTTCTTTATTTTAAAGTATACATAGTCTCTAAAGTAAATTTCTAGGCTGCGTTTTTATGTCTAGTCTATGTATTATTCTATTATTTTTTAACTAGATTTAGCTTTAACTACTAACTTTTTATATATATTTTATAAGTTTATTAGGCAGTTAATTAGTTCTAGTAGGTCTATAAGTTAATTTCTATAAAGTGTGTAGCAAAGATAGTAACTAAAATTTACTTTATATATGTAAGGACGGAGCTCTGTACCACTACGCCAATACAACCAAAAAGGTGCGAGTAATCAACCAACAGTTAATTATTGCGTACAGAATAGTATATATACCCGTCGCACGTAAGCACCATCTCGGCCTTACACGTAAGCGCCATCCCGGCCTTACAATATAAGGTTTTCTTTATTATAGTAGATTCTACTATGTTAATAGTAAGCTGTGCTATTAGAAGCTATTCTGCCTAATTATTCTAGCTATAAAATAAGTACTTTCTTAAGTATTTTTCTACTTTAGCATTTATCTATTTAGTCTAACTGTCTGTTTATAAGTAGTATACT